TTTTTGATGCTTTAATTACATTATGCTCTAATTTAGTTGTTTAATGGTGTCTCATCGTAGGGGGGCAATCCCTCTGGCAAATGCCTAAGTCTGTATTCATATATTTTCTTAAACGAATTGATGGATTTATAAATATTTTGGTGGGATACAACATGGCACCATGATAATTTTGTAAGAATTTTGGATTATGTCAATGATTACGTAAGTACTTAATTAAATAAATTAATTAGGAGATTTTTATAATCCTACCGCCATTAACTTGATTAATCACTATTTTCAGTCAACTTATTTGTTTAATTTCTTTGGATAATTGATGATAGTAGACTTCTAGAGCTCCATAATTAATGTAGGGTGCTACTAAGGGTGGGTGATTGGAGGAGATGAAGAAACAGCATAAAATTCCATGTAGATTATGAGAAACAACCAAATAGGCTAACAATTATTCTTATAGACAGCTAATAGCTTAATTTGGAGTTTTGTACAAGAAAACCCGCATGGATAATGGTGGAACCTCTTTTCCTGATTCTCAAATCAGCATGAAAATTTATTCTTACTTTATCTCTTGTCAACCACCCCACCCCACCCCGCTTATAAACCCTATCCCACCACATTATTCATGTGATTAAGGATGATATGCTGAAAGTCTTGCTTGTGAACAGATTACCTGAAATTGTTGAAAATTACAGTCATAATAGAATTCCTATGAGCAATAGTGTTAGTGACAGTGGCAAATTCACCGTGTCAACCAGTATGGTACAAGAAAAATTGGTTTTTCCACAAAAAACAGTATTGAGCTTAAGTCGATATCATAGAATATGGATCGAACTTATGGATTTAATGATAAAATTCTACGTGTACCACTTGAGGAAGTAATTACCCTCCGTGAATAATACACTAATTTCTTATGGACCTGTCTACAATAACAATCACATAGATAATGGTGGAGCCATTAATTTCCATGTTGATACTGAGAATCAGCAAAAGAGGCTCCACTATGATCCATGTGACAGTTATTATGAATAGCTCTAGAAGATCTTAGTGACTAATTTTCTTCTTCTAAATCATTGAGAATAATTACTACCTCAAGTGGTGATGGTAGATTCTTTCATTAATTTCATTGGTTGACAATTGATTCAAGCTATCAAGTTTTTTAGTACCATTTTCATTGACAGTAGTATTTTCACCATCACCGCCGTCGTTACTGACATTGCTGCTCTTAGGAATAACATTATGACAGTTGTTTTCAGAAATTTCTTGTAATTTATTCTCAAATGAATTCTCAGTTTGTCTTCATAATTTTTAAACAAGTATGACTATTAGAACCACCTTCATCTTAGTCCGTTCAAGAAATTCTTAAACGACTTGTGTGAATCTTCCTAGGGACGTTATTGGGGTTTATAGGCTAGTTTTGGACAGGAGAGGTTGTGACTGTAGGGCAAGTGTTTGGGGGGAGATGAAGAAACAAGAAGAAATTCCATGTTTATATTGAGAAACAACTAAAGAGGCTCCACCATAATTCTTGTAGACAGCTCCAGAAGAAGTTAGGATTCGTTTGATTGCAATGGTGAAAAATGAATGGAAAGAAAATGAATTTTATGGAAAGTAATTACCTAGAAATTGTTTCGCAGAGAATTGTTAAATTTTGTGTTCGTTTGGCTTTGTTTTACATGAAAATTGTCCATTAAAATGATAATTTTTTCCACAATTGGTTATAAAATTTGCTTCCATTGCTAAAAAGTACAAAAAAAAACTATTTTTTTTCTTAAAAAATCATTTTTTTAATCAAAGTTTTGTGTTCGTTTGATTTTGTTTTACATGTAAATTGTCCATTTAAAAGTGAATTTTTTTTTCTTTTACAATTGGTTATGAAATTAATTTCTATTGTCAAAAAAAAAAAAAAAGATGATGGCGAACCTGGAAAAGGCTTTCCCACTATTTTGAAGGAAAAGGGCGCGTGGGTGGTGGTGGGAAAATTTTTTCTTGGTTAAATTTGTCCAATCAAACACTTGTTTTGCTTGGAAATAGAATATAAATTCAAAGTTCCATGGAAAACAAGTGTAATCAAAC